TTGAAGGAAAAAGGAGATGCCGGCGTTAGCTTTGGTATCAGTTCAGTTCAGCCCGTACAATGGCACCGGTCTTAGCGTTTAAATTGGAGGACAAAATAACATTAGAACAAAGATTTGCCTCAATTAATTTCCATTTTCTATCAGTTTTTTCGTGCTTAAATAGAAATTCTTCCTTGTGGTTGTTTTTTTTTTTTGGCGGAATATCGATACTTTTACGCCTGTGGTATCTTCAGTTTGTTTTTGGTGCGAGGCTTGTAGAAAACGTTCAGTTTAACCGCAAACCGCAAATACAATTACAATGGCATTTCGTTTTATTTAACAAGCGGCTCTGCGGTTGTCACAGAGTAGCTTAGTTCGTAAAGTAGCAATGCTTATTGAAAAACAGGAAAAGATAAAACTTTAAGGAAAAAATGAAGAAATGTATGTTGAAAATAGTTACACTGGAAATAATTAATGAAAATAGCTAGAATATGAGTATGTGTATTTTAGCAAAATCTCACAATTATAACGTTCTATAATTGTACATAAATAATTGCACATAAATATTAAAATATAGTAAATAATTATAAATTTTCTTTTTCTTCTTGTTTAGCACTACAGTCTAGTATGAACCTTGGCCTCCTTCGAAATTTTAAATTTTAATTAATTTTTATTATCCACAGCATTATCCATCATTTTTTGCGTGTTATATTCTCCTCTATAATCTCCTATAATCTATAATCTCACTACATTCTCCACTACAATGTAAACAATAGTCAATTTACTGAAGTTCTTTAAACCTTTTTTATATCGTTTTTCACATACTTAATCAACTATTTTTGCAGTCGTTTTCTCTTTTTCCCTTTAATCATATATATTTTTAATATCTTTATAAACATTTTACCATTAAGCACTCTATACCAATGATCTAGTTATAGAAAAAGCTATGAATTCACAAAATAAACAATATTTTCAATATGATTTAATTCTCCGTTCTCAGTCTTGTATTTTATAATATCTAGGTCTCTCTAACACTAGACCTAAAATTCTACTTAGTATTCTGTTTTGAAATACATACGTTTGGTTAATGGTGTCAGGAGAAGGATCACTTCAGATCACTTCAGAGACGCAGTTTTATGTTCCGACTATTTTTACTAGTACTCTAAATCGCTTTTAAGTCGCTTTAAAACTTCATTCCACTTAAGAAATCCCGTTGGAAATTAGGTAGTTTAGGTAGTTGCAGAGGTTCTTAACAATGTGCAGTTTGACAAACTATCAATAAAGTACTAGTCACCTATTGCTTCTAGTATCTGAAGCTAATGACACTCCAAGGCTAATTCTGTGTGGTTTTACTCTTGAGCCGTGACTTTATGTCCCCATATAATTTTAGAAACCACTCAACTTAAAGAGACAATATGTAACACACAAATTCTTTTAGTATCTAAAGCATATGAGACTTCAAGGCATATTCTGTGTGGTTTTACTCTTGTGCTGTGAGTTTATATCCCCATATGATTTTAGAAGCCACTCAACTTAAAGAGACAATATGTAACACACAAATCATTTCTTCGAAAACCACTTATTCGAAGGGCTATTCGGTTAAGGATTACTGTTAGCAATAAAACTTCCATTATTATCAAAATGCTGCATTCCATTGGAGATCCAAAACACTGTGATATTCGATGGTATTTAATTTAAACTTTAAATTATAGCTTCAAATTTAGTTCAATTCGATTAAGGTTAACTGTTGGCAAAAAAAATTTACTATGATCAAAATGCTGAATTCCATTGGATTCCAAAACCTCATCATATTATATTTTATTTAGACTTTAGAATATAGCTTAAAATTTAGTATCCAATTTAGTTTAGTTCATTCCTGTTTCATTCCTGATTCCTGTTTAGTAGTGGTATCACAATGAACCCGTAGGTTCTAACTGAATTAGTCTGCGTGACTTACTATCACTGTTACTGTAGTAGTAACATAACTTTACTAATCTACTTCAAAGTGAAGAGAAATTTTATATTTCTAATGAAAACTATTTGTCATTCAATTGTTTATAAATTATAAAATATATATTTTATATATTTATTGACTTTAAAAAGCCTGTGTATTTCTTTTTACAGCAGAATCATTGATTTTTAGGTTTGGTATACGAATATGAAACTTTAAAAATTTATTTCATTTATTTTTTATATGTTGTGTTTTCAAAAAAGATACAAAATTTGATATATTCGCTAAACACGTCAAAATCTTTTGAGCACGTATTAAAAAGTTTTATCTAAAAATGGAATAAATACTAAATAAAAATAAAAATAAAAATGAAAATAATTCAGCAGTTCAGTGGTTCAGTGGCTCAATTGGCTATATAGGCCATATATAGGCAAATTCTGTTCTACATATTTGAGTAGTATATCCTACTAGGATTTTTCTCAGTGCAAATACAAAAAAATTTCTTTGACAGCAAATGGCAGGAGTAGTAGGAGCGTAAAAATGAAATCCCAGCTCGGCCATTATTGAGCGATAAATTGATTAGATGTACTTGTGAATGTTTGTGATTCCCTTAAATTGCCATTTCGATGTTAATTTTATTAGGGTGTCGGTAATAAATTTCACTGAAACTTGAATATCATAAAAGTAAATATCTATGTTCGCTGAGCAAATGTGTGCACTGCTCTTCAATGGCATCGAATTGAATTGTAATGAAACGAATTGAAATGTTAAAATTAAAATCACTTCACATAAGCTTCGAAATAATGCGCACACACTGTGGTTTTAACATAATAAATTTTCAATTAGTACTATTTACTAGTCAACTAAAATATGAAGAAGTGAAGATACTCGCACTAATGCGTGCGTTCACGAGTTTTGAAGTGTACTGTGCAGATATCAAATTGCAAGTAATCTGTAATTTATCATATCTATCATATTTAATGTCAAGTGTGTGGTTGATGGATAAGTATAAGTCCTTAACCTCAAATATTTAATAATATTTAAACAGTATACTATTCAGTGAAATATAATAACACTTAGGATTGATATTATGATTTCGAAATGCTGTACATGTATCTCTTTGAGAAACTATAAGTAATATAGGCCGTTTTTTGTTGTTCAAAACATATAATTTATTTTATGGTATTGACAACTTCTTATTGCAAACTATGGGTATACATACGGATGAAAACTTTAGGTTTTGTTAAGAGAATGAGGACTCGGTCGCACACGTGCTGTTAAAATCCCCTGCGATAATGCCCATACGGAATAGGCTCTTGGGAATGTATATTCTTACGGAAGAGGTCATAAAACTCTGTAAAGGGCTTACAGACCTACTCTTAACACAGAAGGGGGCACAATAGACTCGACGGTCGCAATGACACAGATGTCCCCTACCAATGATAATAATAATAATTGTATACTAACTCATATGCAGTTGTGAGAATATCGACAATATTTTAAGATTTATAATTCTGTAATTTTAATGATATATAAAGCTCTGTGATAATAAATAGTTACGGTCCGTGATATTACAAAGGCTCAGTATTTGAGCACAAGCGGACTTTAGGCTAAAATTCGTCACTCCAACCTAACCTAACCTAACCTAAGTAGTTGAAAAACCGAAATTTCTCTACAATTTTAGTATTTTACTTTGCAGCAAAACTATATATTTTCTGATTCTTTAAATATTATGAGAATTTTGCAAATACATATTTGATAATTCTGTTCAAGTTTTTAGTGCTCATATATATATATTTTCCTATTATATTTGGATTCATAAAAATATTTCTATTTTTATAAAATTTTAAGAAAGCAAGACAATAAAACAAAATAAAATGAATCAAAAAGGAGTAGTCTAGTGCAATCATGGCAGATCCCTTATTGTGAAAGATTTTCTAATAGCAGATGTGAATAAAAACTGCTAGCGCAGTAATCTATCAGCTTTTAAACTGGCGATTGTTATACTAGAATCTGTTTACTAATTCAATTTTAAATAGTAAACAATAATAAGTATTATACAATCAAAACTGCAACTGCTACAACCTTGATTATATCATCTGTTTTGTATATAGATAAGATACTGTATAGTATATTTTACTATTTAACTATCATAGATAAACTAAATAAATTTAAACCACGTAAATAAAGTAAATTTAAAGTATAATTGCACTAAAAGGACTATTAAAAAAAAAGATTTTGACGTGTTTAGCGAATATATCAAATTTTGTATCTTTTTTTTATAAGATTTTAAAACTAAATGAAGTAAAATTAATTCAAAATATAATAAATATTGCTTACAAAAATCAAAAATTTTCTGTAACCTACATATTTTCCTTATATAAAATGTACCAAAATAGGATTTATTTTTACCAATTTTATAAAACTCGCTACAAAAATAGAAAAAAGAAAATTCATATAATTATTTGAAAAGTATATGTTTATTCTGAAAATCGACTTAAATTGTATACAAAGAGAAAAAACCAAACGATGTCAGCAATTCACAACTTTAATATTAACAGAAACATATTCCAATGTAGATTACCATAAATGCGAACACATACATACACACTTAAACACAAACCCATTCATACAAAATTATTACTCACATGCCGAAAAGTAGGCAATGAAATTTCACACAATATGGCGCACATTATGAATTTATGAAATTACAAAGATTCTTCTTTTTCTATGACGAGTATTAAATTAACGAAGGAGGACGAGGACTCAATTAAAGAAAAACAAAATTAACTAATATGAGTAAAAATCTTCTTTCAAGTTAATTTTAATTAATTTATTAAAATGATTAATGAAATGATTAATTTTTAATTTAATAAATTATATAACTGAAATTGCTTATTGTTAGTTCGTCAAAAAAGCAATAAAAAAATAGTAACTACAAAATATATTAACAATAAAAATATAATTTAAATATTTTTAAATTAATTTTGAAATTTTTTTTATTTATTTTAGTATGATTTGAATTAATGTAAACCACAAGCATTACTGCGGTTTCCTATTACTTTAACCTGGTTGGCGTTCTATAGTTGTACTCCATTTGAAATTTCCATCACCACTGTTCTACAAGCCAACTGACGGAAGCAATAAGCACCAATCTACTAGATTACATATGCTTAACTTGGATTAAGCACAAAATAATTGAATTGAATCACTTGAGTGAATAGCAATCAGTACGCAATGTTAACTCATACTTTACTTAATATTAGAATATACATGACCTACAACAAAACAACTTAACCCGCTCGACATCAGTCGTCAGGCTTTGCGCAACAGGATTTATGTTGCCTACATTCCTAGCCGTATACTGTCAACAACCTCTGCACACTCCAAAAGTGAAAAAAGTACATACAATTATTCGTAACATCTTCTTCGCTTTACCCGATTTCCAAACACACTTTCCAAATACAATCAGTGCACAGCAGGTGATGTTACGCGAGCAAAGTGTTTCCGGCCGCCATCACAGCTTTCTAAGTTTTTAATAAAAATGTTGTTAATGCTTGTATAATTCTCAAAACGCCGCAGCACTTGAAACTTAGATATTCAACTACACTGTATACAACTACGGCTGCAAGTCTGGGAATAGTTGATATACGTGCGTACTCCGCATACCCGAAGCACTTAACTAAAGCCAGCATCTTCACAGAATGTCTGGCAAATGGCGGTAGTATTAAGCACCAATACAAACTGAAACATGTTCTACTTCAATTGTTTACCGTTTTACTTTGTTGCGAGGCCAGCTCAGTAGCATGTTATTCAGTTAATGGAACGCAAGTCAACGAAAATGTTATCACCAATAAACAAATACAGTTGGCGAAGTTTTCAACACCACCATGCGGTGCAAAAAATGTTACTATCACGAACCCGTTTGAGATGCCACCAAACTCTTCTACAATGTCAAACTCAAACACAAGCACTGTCGAAACTTTTGGTAGTTCAGTTCTTGAGACAGCAAACACTGCATCAACCACGACCACAGCGCCCACAACCACTAAAACATTGGCTTCTAATGTGTCTAACACAACATTTGATGAAATTCCACAAATTCCTGTGTACATACGCACCACTGCCATGTTCTTCTGCATAATTATTATGGTGTTGGGTGTAATTGGCAATATTATGGTAAGCAGCAACTTGAGGCAGCATTGCTTTAGCTAAGTCAGTTTGATATCTAAGAATTCCATTTATTAGGTGCCAATTGTTATTGTAAAAACCAAGGATATGCGCAACTCCACCAATATATTTCTAACTAATCTCAGTATTGCGGATTTGCTTGTGTTGCTCGTTTGTACACCCACGGTGCTGGTGGAGGTCAATACCCGCCCAGAGACCTGGGTATTAGGCCATGAAATGTGTAAGTATATGGCTTAAACTAATATTGTTTAGTTTGAAATATTGAAAAACTTATTTTTCTATTAATTTAATAACTCAACTAATCCCAATAATTTATTTATTTTTTTATTAATTCAGAGCTAATTAAAGATGTTGAATATATAAAAAATCAATGGTTTTATATAATATTGAAGACAATTGCTTTTATAGAATATGTCATAAATCAATATATTTAAAAAATTTTTTAAAACTTAAAACGAATTACTCAGAACTGAATATATGTATAAAGTTAATATATGATAAATAAACTTCTTATCTGTAAAGTTATAATGAATGAATAATCTTAAATATTCCATAGAATTAACAATGCTGCCATATAATTTAAATATTACTTAATTAACGAATACTGGAAATTTAATCTGTAACCGACTTCAACAGATGGATGTGCTACTGAGCACAGTCCATTCAAGCCCACAAAAATGTTAAGTATTTAGTCACTTACCTTGAATATTAATCATTGTCTATTTTTAAGTGACAGATCTTAATAAAAGAAAATAAATTAAAAAACAAAAAAAAATTAACGAATAGTTGTAATAACTTCATAGTCCTTACTTAAATGTAAGAGAATATATATTGTACTTATATAATATTGATATAGTATATTATAATACTAATCTTATTTCAGTAAAAATAAAATAGAAACCATAAAAAGTCAGCGTTTAACCTATTTAAATACATTTGCGTAGAACAAATTTATTGTAATTAAAAATTTTTAATTTTCAAATATTTTAATATTAATTTTAAACATGCGATCAACTCTTTAATGCTAAGTATAAACTCTCTTTGAAACATCACTGTGACCTGTTAAAATAAATTAAATGATATATTTTTACAATTTATATTAATTTATTTTTGAAAAAACATATTTAAAAAAAAAAAACAAAAAAGAAAATATTTAATATAATATTTAATATTTTATACTTGTTCGTATAGGTAAAGCTGTTCCGTTTGTGGAACTCACTGTTGCCCATGCAAGTGTGTTAACCATATTGGCCATATCCTTTGAACGTTACTATGCCATATGTGAACCACTCAAAGCCGGCTATGTCTGCACAAAGACTCGAGCAATATTTATATGCTTCCTAGCATGGGCAATCGCAGCGCTATTTACTAGGTAAGTTTTCTATGTAAGAGAAGAAGCACATAATTTATATACACATTCTATTGGCTATCTTTGAATGAGTTTACTCATACTTTTTTAAGAATATCCATATATAAGATTTATTTTTTTCTCTCAGAACTGCTATATATCTATCTTTTGTTCCTTATAATCTATATGTAGTGCACGTTTTTGCTATTTTCTGTCAAATGTTATCGTAATATTCATTAGATTTGCTACTCTTCCTCCTTTATAAGTGTGTTTATTATTTTGTCGCTATTTTGATGATTTTAATGTAATTTAATTATTCAGATCTTTTCATTGTACACCAAAACAATTATTTCACTCATTTGTATGATAATTTCCAAAAAAAAATGCTTTATGCAAAGAATGGAAAGTGTTAAAAGTGTTATTAATAAAAATAAATTCTTAAAAGTGCATGCATTGTGTATTATTAAAATTAAAAATAAAAGCAATTTTAGTTTATTCAAAAAATTATACAAAATTGTAAAAAATTAAATTACCAAAAATTCAAAATTATATTCCGTTTTTATTGATGTTTTTATCTTTGTTATATCAAAACTAATAAACAAACGTCCCTTTTCTTTTGTTCATTGACATTTATTTTGAAGGCGAACTCGAAAGGACCCTTTTCTTATTTTTAGGTTAGCAAAAATAGAATAATAAAAGCAACAAATTCCGTTCATAACGCTGTGTGTTCACTGACCTCGCCGCAAAAATATTATACTTTATTGTCATATTTTATTTTTTTATTCGTATATTAATTACAAGTCGTACTACTACTCAGCACACTACTTACTCTGCACTCTTCCAACAAACACAAATGCGTACAAAGTTGGAAATAATTCGAATAGAGAATTGCATACCCACTTTTGAACAGTTTGGGAAGCATAAATGCAAAGATTACTGCTTTTAATTTTCACATTCCACACTCAATAATTTACCTCTGTCATTTATTTAATCCTTCTCTTATATAATTTCATGTTACATCTTTAAGCTATGTTCTTCTTCTTCCTCTTCTTTCAACTCTTTCACTTTCCTTAACTTTCCGCATAACAGATAAAACTTATGCAAAGCTTAAACGCACAGACAACATAAAACTGTAACCCAAAATTATTTTTTACAGCCCCATACTTTATGTAGCAGAATACAAAACGGTTGAATACATTGATGGATCATCTGTGGCGGTCTGCTTGACACAGGCAATCACCAAACTGACAATTGGCTTCTTTCTGATGACCATTATATTCTTCTTTTTGCTGCCACTCATTATACTAATTATACTCTACGGTATTATAGCCAAAAATCTAATTTCGAATAATGGTCCGATGTTACGTATACGTCCCATCAAACCAGAATTAAGTTTGAAGGCACGCAAACAGGTGGTGCTTATGCTCGGCGCTGTTGTTCTATCATTCTTTCTGTGCCTATTGCCTTTTCGTATGCTTACCATGTGGATTATATTGAGCTCAGAACAGACATTCATCGAAATTGGTATTGAAAAATATTATGGACTATTGTATTTTTGCCGTATTATGTTATACTTAAACTCAGCAATCAATCCAATATTATATAATCTGATGTCAACGAAATTTCGTAAAGGATTTTTTAAATTAAGTTGCAGTACTTGGAATTTTATTTGGAGAACATTGACATGTGGACGACCAAAGTGCACACGTGCCAGAATGAATGGTAAAGTAATGGGCACAACAACAAATACAACAACATCCAATACAACAACAGCAACATCGTCTAGTTTATTATCGCGTAGTTCAAATCGAAGATCAAGCGAAGAAATTGCACGGACGAGAGTGCAAATTCAAATGCAAATGCCCTGTGGCAGTGACAGTGAAATGGTGGCAATGTTGCATGTAAATGATGGAAATGAAATATTGCAATCCACAACAGACAACAGAAATATGCAAATGCTAAAAAATAAAATGAAACAACAGCAAAAACAACAACAACCACAGCAGCGGCAACAACATCGCTTATATATGCTTAGTAATCGAGTGCGGTGTCAAAAACAACATAATTTTGATTCGAAATCATTTCAAAATCAAAATGAAGAAATTCTCTCAGAATAGATAGCAAGTAAAAGATTGATTGTTATTTATAAGTCCTCAACATACAAAATAAAATTCAAAGCTTTATCACTTATAATAAAGAAATTGACTGAAATGATGTTAACAGACATCAATCGATGTTGAAACTACTCGTGAAATCATGTTAATGCACAGAATGCAATCAGTGTTAAAATAATTGCAGTTACAAACAAGACTTTAATCAAAATTAATGTTAAAGTGACATCAAAAACATAGAAATATGTTTTTGAGTGACATCATGTTAACAGAATGCAATCGGTGTTAAAATAATTGCAGTTACAAACAAGAGCTTAATCGAAATTAATGTTATAGTGACATCATGTTAACAGAATGCAATCGTTGTTAGGATCTCTGTTATTTTGTCTACGAACGGTAATATGTGGTAATTAATAAGCTTACCATAATATCACAATAAAAATTGATAAAGTATTATTAATCTAAGGAATAATTATAAACAAAATATTGATTCCACTCATTTGAAACATCTGACTAGAAGCTACTATCAAGCTAAAATACTTTCGTTATTAGCAATAGCCAGCCAGAATAATTTTTAAAAAAGCGATAAATATTTAAAAATTGTAAAATGTTTGAAATTATTAGTTAGATCTTTAAATACATAGAATGGAATTATTTAATAGTAAAAGTCAATTTTTATTTCATTGATAAAATCTATAAAAAGAGCTTCAGTTGAAGCATATTTTGATACTTCTGATGATGTTAATATCCATATTAAAAATAGTTATACAAAATTTTTGTATATATACACATTCTTAAAAATGCATGTATAAACATATGCGTTTTTATGAAGTGATATATGTATATTTCAGTAATATTTATGCAAAGCATTATAATAATATATGACAATAGACTTTTTACAATAAAAAAAAGAAATTGATATAAAAATTTATGTTAAATAAAAACATCAGCAAAACAGTTTTAATACACAAAATACATAAAACTAATATATATATATACATATATATATATATAAATATAAAAAAGGCAAATATTGATAAAGTATATGTTTTCCATTTTGCATGTTGTCAGTTTGAAATGCCACTTTTTAACCCGTTTACACTTTTGCTTGACTTAACAAAAATTTTTGCAACAAAAAAGTCAATGATGAGCCTGAACATGGGCTATTTAAACTAAAATCGAACTCGAACATATTGTACGAGAATTTGAATGTTGTGGGAAAAGCTTTTAACTTGCTCGGACCAACTTAATCTGTGCCATTTCCATCAGCGACACGCCAATTTTCTTAAGAATTACTCTTATTCCTAGCAATGAATAGAATGTGGGAAAGAAATGAATGAAACTAGAAAAACAATCAATTTTTCGGGCTATTAAACTCAAATGAATGTGCCAAAGATAAACAATGACAACAAAAAATAAAATAAGAATAGATGAAGCATATATTCTTGTCTATCCTAGTATATTGTATATTCTATAAATTGAGCTACGTATAAACAAACCCCTTGGAATATATGGATAAACATGATTTAGGTGTGGTATAACCAATGAAGTCAATGATGTTACTATTGCCTGCTTATTGCTGCTGCTGCTGCTGCTGTTGCTGTTGCTGTTGTTGATGTTAATGTTAATGCTGCTATTGTAGCTACTACTCGTACATTCATTTTGTTGATATTAAAACAGAAAATAACTAAATAATTTTTGTTGATTTTGTTATTATTGTTATTACTGTTGTTGTTGTTGTTGCTGCAAATGCTTTCTCACAACTACACATCCTTACCAAATTTAAGTACAGTGGTGAAAAAATATTTAAGGTAAAGCATCCATAGAAATGCAAACAAGTATTAAAATGAATTATGATTTCTTTTTTTAAATAACAGAAAAAAATGTTTATAGTTTATTATTTATGTATAATGTTTTGCAATAACCAATGATATATTTATAGTTCTTTTAACAACCTTAATAAATAAACAATACAAAAAAGCACCACTGCCTGAACTTTACAATTTACATACAAATTATATATTAGCAACTAAAAGTTTAAGAGTTCACTATAAATTAGCACTTGTAATGCAATGTATAATTATATTATCATATTACAAATGTATTATTTTTGTTTTTATAAATTATACATATTGTAAAAAAATAGACAGTAATTAAATATTTTATAGACTTATACACAACCTTATTCGCATACGCACTTATATATTATATACAGAATACGAATCATAATATTGTTTTATAAATCGTTTTATAAATCTTTTTAAATATTTATTTACTCTCTTATTATATTTAATATTATTACAAATATACGTTATCATATTCCACTGTTAAACTTTATTTCATTTTTATTTACATTTTTGATTTGCCCACATTTTATTAACAGGAACCCCACATATTCCATACCATTTTCTTTACTGTAAATTAATTTTAAATATTTACTTTACACCATGGAAAGCATGTCAATTTGTTTCTTTTCGCATCAGCAGAGTTTCACCCAAATTCCTTAGGTGCTCTATAGTAATTAAAAACAAATTACTGAAAGCTATGCAAAAAATGTTGATAGACGTTTTAATTTAGTCTATAATACAACACATTTTCGATAAAGATAAATATGATATGGACTTTAAATAACAGGAATTTTTACCAAAGCCATCTATTGGCAATTACATGCCTTGATATACATTTGATTTGGTATCGTGTGACTTTTATATTTTGGAAAAAAATGCATTTTTTAATGAATAGAAAGCGTTTTGTGGACATCCGAAAAACACTCGTTCAATACACTTCTACACCGTGCTAAATGCTTTATTAAGTCAGAAGCGGAATATCTTAAAGTAAATAAATCGATTTTACTAAAAAAATATTTGTTATTTACTTGTATAATTTGGAACTCTTCTAGCATATAAGTAGATAGAAAAGGTGAAAGAAGTTGACCCTCCTTTCCTCATAATTTTGGGGTTAGGGCGATAATAAGCCGGATGCGCGATTTCTAGCAAAAAAAAAATAGCACATACAGAAAATTCTAGAAAATGGATTTAGGTAATACTAAATCCACTTATATAACAAAATTTTTGGTGGATTGTTCACAAACACTAGTCCATGCAGTTCTATTGCTGTTATTATTTCTAACTTCTATCTAGTTTTAGTTTTTGACGAGGTTGTGGCTCTGAGGACGAGGAGGAGACCGTGCTCCATCTTATATGTCAGTGTCCTTCTTTAGCTAGAAGAAGATTAAAAATATTCGGATCCCGTTTTATCACCGATGTAACTGGGACCTGATCAAGTTTATAGAACTCTCAGGTTGGGTTTTCTTTATCTAATGGGGGACTCGATACCTTTTTCGGCATTGGCTGTATAGTGATTTAGATCTGTGTACGTACCAATGCAATTCCTGTGGTACCATAATGGACCATCATATCAGCTCAAATGACCTTTTTGGAAACAAGGCCACCACTGCATCCTAACTACCTAATCTGCATTCACCTATCTTTATTTCCAGTGTCACAATGGTTAGTTTTTCGACCCTAAGGCTTTCAGATAAACCTTATAAATTTATTTAGTTTAAATATTCTATATGTAAAGTTATGTAAAAAATAAAAACGATATACTTTGCTTTACTAAATAAACACATATACAAATATTAATAGATTTTTAAACGAAATAAGTTCATTAATATGTAAATTTTACATATTAATTTCGTAACCGAAATTATTAAAATATGAAGCAATAATTAGATTTACAGAGGAAGTGTTTTGCATGAGTGTTCGTTCCTTCTTTTAATTGCTTTTATATTCAAAATTAATTTGTTTTTTGATTTGCATATAATTATTATATAAATTATATATTTTGCTATATATTCTCTATTTTTTTGAAATTAAATATTAAATCAATTAAAATTATTTATTTTTAGTTTTTTATTTATTTAGTTTTATAGGATATGTTAATATTATTCCATTTTATAGTACATAAAACATTTTTTTCGCAGCCCAATCATATTAATAGCTACTTATCGTGAAGAAATCTACTATGACGGTACCGAAGCGGCGGTATGCTTCACATCGGCGGATACATTTTGGTCGGCATTTTACTTTATATCCAGTATAACGATTTTCTTTATGTTACCATTCGCTGTACTTGTGTTGCTGTATGTAGCAATTGCATGCAAATTGCTAAGACGAAATTCCGCATTTCATCGACCTACTGCAGCTTCATCAAATATCACTGCCTCAATGAATGAGCGACAAAGTCGGGCCGAGGTTAAGATGCAAAGCAGTCAGCATCAGCAGAGTAATGGTATGCGCAAGCATCGTAAACAAGTCATTTTCATGTTAATCGCGGTGGTTTCGAGTTTTTTCGTATGCCTGCTACCGTTTCGTGCATTTACTTTATGGGTTATAGCCAGCTCTGCAGAAGAAATTGCTGCGATTGGCATTGAAGGATATTACAATATCTTGTTCTTTTGTCGTATTATGTTTTATTTGAATTCTGCATTGAATCCAATATTATATAATTTAATGTCTTCGAAATTTCGTACTGGATTTCGGCGACTTCTTTTATCCTGTTGTGGTGTAGCTGCCGAACAACGTACCAGAAATATAGCATATACTGCCAGCCATCGTGAGGCTCCTAACACATTATTATATGGGGACAAATTTACTCAGCATTCAATGCGTAGAGATACTGCATTTTTTGTTAACTCTATATCAACGTCGTCGCAAGGCACTGATCGCACATCACTGCGTAGCGGAAGCGTGTCAACTGCGCCTTATAATTCCTTCCCCAATGAACGAAACATTGGTGCTGCAATTATTGGCATGACTGCTGCTTCAATTACATCTGCAAATTTACATGATCGTCAGTGGAGCCTACACTGCGCTCAATAACACATTTCCAGCACATAAAATACATACAACAATTTAACAAAATAAGTTATCAAAAATTAATGTTTAATGTTTGTTAGAAAGACTGATGTACCTTCAAAGTCAATAAACTATTCAAAACATATTTTTTAGGTTTTTTGATCAATTATAAAATAATTTTGTTTTAATGTTTATAAGATTTTTAATTTATGTTTCTAATAACTTAAAAACGGTAATGTAATAAACTGGATTTATTAATATTAATAAAACGTGACTAAAATTCTTTATCGTACGATATTTAGATACCACATTATTCAGTAGAAAATTAACACTTTGAACGAATTAAAAAATGCGCCAAAATACATAAAAATACAAATTTTTTAATTAAAATACGCCTTTTATTTAAATCTTGTATGTGTATTTGATTTTACTTTATTAAATATATTAAACTAATGTTGCAATCTAGTGTACATTACGCAACCAATATAAACAGAATCTTAGATAATCATTATTCTGAAATAAAAATAAAATGTTCAATAAAGTTAATCGAAAATAAAGTAAACCGCCTCATGACACGGTAATACAGTATCTCTTTATATAAGTTTAAGTTTTTTAATTCATTCAATTTAAACTTTAGTTTAAATTTTCC